AGTGCTCATATCTGATTCGGTGTCGAGACACAACCAGTCTATCTGCATTGGTCGAGTTGGAGGCGAGGCAAATGAGCAGATTTATTTATGATGAAATCATTTGCTTGTCTTCTGCAAAAGTAGACTAAGAAGGCACTAAAATACTTTAGTCAGAACGATTTTCTAGTGACTATAGACCAGGGTTGCCAAACATAAAGCCCGTGGGCCAAAACCGGTCCACTCAGGGGGTTCAATCTGGCCCACTTAACGAATTTTAAAAGTGAAAAACACTTCATTTTCGTGATGTTTTACTAAATTATATTTCATTAAATATGAATATTTTTAATTGCCTTCTACTTATTTGCCTGGAAACAAATGAGAAAAACATGGACTTGATGTTGCACGTTATTAATTATATGAATTGCCTCACCAGGAATTAGCAATGTAAAAATTGAAAAAAACAAACAAACAAAAAAAAAAAACGATCTAATGTAGAACTTGAACGAGTGCAATCTTGTGGCAGTGATGATGTGCAAGGCTGGAATACGATCGTGGGAAAAACTACCATGCAGCCACTGATTGTATGCTTGCCTTTTTGGTATTAAAAAAAATGCCCTTTTATAGTTCCTGGAATTAAAATGACTGAGGGCGAGCCAGCAGTACACTTTAATGCACACCGAAAATCCCCTTCCTATTTCTTTTTACAGTCCACATCACCATTCATTCCATCTCTCCGCCGTATCCTCTTCATCTCTGAGCTGATAAGTCACCGCCATTGTGGGACTATAAAAAAAAGGCCCCTGAATAGTCTTGTCTTATTAGTTCTTAGGCGTATTATTTATTTATTTCTTTACATACTCTGGAGTGATGGCCCTTCTTCTATTGACACGGTCAATAAAAGAACTTTTTCCGCCCTCTTCCCAACCCTTTTCAAGGGTTCTAACAGGACAGGGTGCATTGTCTCATAAACCTATGAAACACTATCCCCACCTGGCTAGAGAATGAATTCACTTTTTGCAATCCCCTTTTCTCCTCACCTTCACGAGAAAGCCTCCTCCGCGGTATCGTTTGGTCTGGAAATTCTATCTCGATATCATTCATCGTTCGTTGTGCGTTTTTATTGTAGAAACAGATTTTCATCAGAGCACGGATTAGAGCCTGTATCACTGGAGTAGTTTTGTTTTCTTAGCCTTTACTGGTGAACCGTGCTCGTGACCCCGATGTGCGTCTCAGCCTGTAACCTGTACAGTCACTGCTGTACCCAGCTGTGTTATGAGCACGAGCGGGGGAAGATGCGTCATCCCCCTTATAGTTTGTCCAGCACCTGCCAGCTGCATTATTACTCTCAGACGACCACTTCTTGTACACACTGCCATCATTTCCTGCTCAGAGTCCCTCGCTTCCCCACTGTCTCAGTATGGCTCTATTCTCTCTGTTCGAATTGATCATCCTTCAGCAGGTGTTTCTTGGAGTCAGCTCAGCACGCACCAGCCGACGCCAGTCATCCTACTTGCAACAGTGGTTTAAATTTTCATTTCCATTGCACTAAAACAGTTCAGAACAGGGTTCCTGCCAGCATCTTGCAGAGTGCGGGATGCTGCCAGGAACGGCATACACAGAACGACGCAAGCAGGAGGCTGGAATCGTGCACAGAACACATCTGTGCCAGGGTTGAACTAGGAGTCCCAAGGTCAGATTGGAAGACACCTCCTGAGGCAGTCAACGGTGATTGTGGGACTTTCAAAAGGTCAATTAAACTGGCACGGTGTTGACTGACAAACAAGCAGGGAAGGATGTAGTGAGAAATATAGCAGCACTCGTGATGTCGACGTTTACTCTTACAACTTGCAACTAAAAATATTACTAATTATAGCTTTATTGTATTACTCTACACACAAGTGCTTGTTGCTATCCATTTGTGGGTGTACTATCTATCTATCTATCTATCTATCTGTCTGTCTGTCTGTCTGTCTGTCTGTCTATCTATCTATCTATCTATCCATCCATCCATCTATACATCCATCCATCCATCCATCCATCTATCCATCTATCCATCCATTCATCCATCTATCTATCTATATTTTTTTTGGCTACTCTACCCACCTATGGTCACTATTCATACAGCCAACCTATTCTTTGTCAAAATGCACAACACACACCTCTTACCATAAACTCTTCTCAACCAAGGACTGCTGTTGGCCTAGTTGCCATAGTGACGAGTAATATCAACTATTATAGAAATAATTGGGGTGGCAGTGGAGTGTCCTGATGGCCCCTGATTTGAATCATAACTAATTCAGAGAATGTGAGCAAAATTGGTTGTATTTAGAAGTATTTGTTGAGATCTTTCTGTGTTCCTTAGCGAAAAAACCCTGTACAGTGATCCCTTGCTATAACGCGGTTTACCATTCACGGTTTCGCTACTTCACGGATTTGCATCGTGCATTGTGTTCTGCATTCTGATTGGCTAAAAAGTCACTCCGCTTCTTCTCTACCTGTGCGCCAATAACGTTGCGGTTTAATATGTACACGTACGTAAAACAGCTTGCCAAATTGACATTACGTACGTGCAAATTCTCTTGCAATTTCGAGTTTATCAAACCCCATAATGTCGACAAAACGCTCTGGACCGGCAAAAGTACCTGCGGTAGGGACCAAAAGGCAGCGGAAGATGCTGTCTATCGGTGATAAAGTAAAACTATTGGACATGCTAAATGACGGTAAAAGCTATGCGGCTGTAGGTCGCCATTATGGAATTAATGAATCTTCCGTTCGTTTGTGAAACAAATGGTTGAGACTGTAAAATGGTTTGTTCGTTCTTTCTCTTCTTTTTCTGAGTATTTAATTGTAAAAAAAGATTTCTACTTCACGGATTTTGCCTATCACGGGTTCTTTTTGGAACGTAACCCCCGCGAAAAACAAGGGTTTACTGTAATCCCGCTTTTTTTTTTTTCTCATCTGTTTTGCTCCCGTCTTTAGGCCTGTCTTCTCTGTGTGATGAATACAAAGCCAGAGTGTTTCATAAAAAAGATAAAAATCAAGACAGGGGAATTAAATTTGAATGAAGTTGGCAGGATTATGGTGTCAAAAGAGCTTAATGGCAATATGCCTGTATGTATAATTCTGTATATCTAATATGTTTACAATGTAACGCTACGTGTACAATAGATGTGCATTTGAAGCAGTGCGTGAAACATTTGTGTTTGAATGGATGGATGTGAAGTGTTGTCTTAAATATTTATATATTTATTATTTCTTTATAACTTTCAAGTCCTCCACGGACTAACACCGCATACGCAGGGAATTATACGTGGCGTAAATACTGAACCCATGTCTTGTGTCCTCAGTTAACTGTTCGCTGTTACGCAAATCATTTGAATTCAAACGTAGGAATCTCTTTTCTTTTCCCATTGTGATCAGTCGAAGTAATGTACGTTTGGCCATGACCTGCTGTCAAGTAGAATGATTTTATCCAAGCATAATATCCCTCCTCATTACCAGACTCAGACATGTGCTTGGAATTTAAGCAACATCAAAGAGACGGCCTGCTGTTTCTGAGGCCCCTCGGCAGAAAAAAATATATTAGGTTTAGGGGGACAGATTAATTTCTTTCTGAGATTATTGCCAACGTTTTTGGATATTGTGTCACTTATCAGCATACATCACTTCAAGTGTGTGCGTAAGTGAGCCTTCATTGTGGCAGAAATTGGAACACTGTGCATTTGCGTTAAACTGAAGTCAGCAAATGAGTTGCTTCAAGTGAGTTGTAGGTAGAAGAAGATAAAGAATCTGACCTTGACTCCTTTATCACACTATTTCAGAAGTCTAGATTAAAATTCACCCTTGTATTTACATTTTTCTTCATATTTTACTCATACTAATAGAAGGAAATGTAATTTAATTAAATGACATTTTTAGAAATACTACAGTAATTATTTCGTGTCGAACGTGAGGAATTAAGTAGAAAAAAAAAATCAAAAATAACTCTGTTGATCCCACACCTGGGAAATTCTTGTGTTAACAGCTAATCTGCTGCGACAGGCTGCCTCTTGGAGGCACCAAGTTTGTGGTTCCTCTGGGGATCAAACCCCGGAAGACATGCTAACCGCTACGCTATGAACTCACTGGAAAATGTTTTTTGTGGGATTTGAACCCTTGCCTCCATTTGTAGGCCAGAAATCCTATTTACAGGGCAGTTGAAACCCTGAGTCTGACACCTTAAACTAGTGTTTCCCAAACTTTTTTTCTGGAGAGCCATATTTTAAAAGTCACAAACCTGAAGCATGATGCGAGACGACCCAAAAAAAAAATCTCTTGCGACTCACCTGAGGGCTGCGACCCAGCCTTAGACCACCCAGCCATCCTGACAAGTGGAGACATGGGGGCAAAGAGGAATGTATTGAAACAGGGTTTTAGGTTAAACCCTCAGTCCTGAACATTTTGTGTTCATAGTTGGTGTTATGACACTGCCGTTTCTGTTTAATTCTCCAATAGAGGCTTTGGCTGTTTAAATGATGAAGCAATAGACGACATAAATGTATCCATTTGCTGCCACTTAATCAGGGTCAAGGAGGAGCTGGAGCCCATCCCAGCAGTCATTGGGTGAGGCTGGGGTACAGTTTGCCAAACCTTGCTGGGCTCACATTTACACCTAGGATTCACTGAACTGTATCATTTTTGGACTGGGAGGAACAAAAGTGGGTCCTGTTCTTCCTCAGTTTGTGTTAAAATCATATTCAATATTGACTGACTGACTTTCTGTGGTTTCGGTTTTTTAATTGTGAATCCAAGTAAATGAAAAGTCGATGAAAAACGACTGATGTGCATCTTTTTGAAGGGTTTTATCTCAAGTGATGCGTGTCCGAAATAATTCTCTCCTCTCCTCTCCTCTCTCCTCTCCTCTCATCTCCTTCACTTGACTTCCTCCTATCTTCCCTTCCTCCTTCTCTCGCTCCTCTCTCTCTTGCCATTCTCCCCCTAATAAATCACTATGTTAACATCCATCTTTTTTTCTCCCACAGCTCACTGTCAGGCGGTGCAGGCAGAGAACGTTACAGTCTTGGAGGGGGGTACAGCCCAGATCTCCTGCCGTCTGCAGAACTACGATGGATCAATCGTGGTTATTCAGAATCCCCGCCGACAGACCCTGTTCTTCAACGGCACCAGAGGTGTGTTTCGTGTGTATCTGCAGAAAACTCGTGTTTATACACTTAACTGCTTTTTTTTTTTTTTTCGGTTTTGTTTTGTTTTACTTCAGATGTCCTCACTTCGCCTCTGAAGTGTTTTCACATTGCACGGTATAATTATCGCCGACTTAATTTTTGGAAATGCGTTTACTCTTTGCCCCTCACTGCTGGTGCTTTAAGTGTTTTAAAAGCCTGGTTTGAAGCTCTTTGTGTAATCCAGTGTTAACCCTCAGTGATGAGATCAGAGCTTATTGTAGCTCCTCATTAGAGCACGGCCGTGGCAATCACATGGCCAATTACCATTGTAACCAATATTATAATGAAGTCACATTTTAATTAGGAGCCTGGGGTTGGCCCAACAATACTGTTTTTCCCCTTATATGTTAAAGAGAAAAGTTGTTTGCTCGGCCGTGTGTTCCGTCAACACTGCTGCTGTAGGTACAACTCTGAGTCTGAGGTGATTATTTAGGGCTTTTGAAATGTTTGTTGGGTATTTTTAATTAAGGCAAATTAGTTTTTGTATGGTTAAACATTTTACAATTACCCGGTACACATGTAAACAAACATCGTAGGATACTATTTTCAGGCTTAAATTGTTAAACATAAAGTTGCTGAATTTTGACCCACAGCGGTCATTTTGACTTTCAGGACAAAGTCTGACTCAAGTCATTGTCTTGTTGGAAGACAAAGTGAAATAGAGGTTTTTCTTTAAAATCCGAATTGGACGCTGTCTAAAAGAAAAAATTGAAAATATTTATTAGTTTACTTAATTATGTAATTATTTTTTTAAACATTAAGGTTAAATACTGCTCTAAATCTACAGGTAATCCTAATCCCCTCATATAAAATCCTCAAATGAAACCTAAGTTTTAATCTAAATCTAAACATATTTTAAATAATCTAAATGTTAAATCTGGATCTGGAGGCAATTTGGAAGTTACAATGCAGTTATCATAAAATGTTAAATCTGGATCTGGAGGCAATAAAAGCAATTTTTACAATGCAGTCATCAGATACATACAGAAATACAATCTTAGCCTGTAGTACTGTAGTGGAATTTTAAACTTGTACATACATATGTGTGATAATATATTTTTTCAATAACACTGTCGTAACTGTGCTTTTAAAATGAAAATTATTTGGCTATGTATTAGGGATGGCTCATTTTTTTTTATTATGTCTGACACCAATACATCAACTGCGATAGTGTCTCGAAGTTAAATTGAGAATTTGGACTTAGGGAGTATCAGATTGATCAATAAATCACAATAGTTCGTGTAGGTATGACTGCCATCACGAGCGTCCTGCATAGGTTTTCAACTAGCAGACTACAAGCAGAGGATTCTTACTTCTAAAAAAAAAAAGAAATACACATTTCTAATGATCGTCATGGTTCCAAACAGAACTGAGATGAGATGAAAGTGTACACGTAAAATTTTACGGAAAATAGTAGATAACTGGAAATAAAATGTTGGGGCTGACGTTCAGCTACGCTGTGATTAGCTGCCTCTCCGGATGTGTCTTACGGATATGCCTGTGATCGCTCCTCATGATTTATTGAAAACGGTTGCTATCTGAAGGTTGGTTTAGAATATTCTTTGTTGTTGTTTGTTTGTTTGTTGGTTTGTTTTCTTTTATTCATAGGTGCCCAGTCTTGTTTTAGTGCGATGGCACATTGGGTTCTTGCATAAATCCACTGCTTTTCACCGGCTTTCATTTTTCAAAAGATACACTTCACCTCCTCTTCATTTCTTAAAATGCACACATTGTGTCTGAACAATGAACCATGAAGAACTCTTCACATGTGAACAGTCATCCTGAAAGGCGCGGAGACAACGTCGTCTCTGAAAAGGCTGATACATATTCTGCAAGAAGAATACATTTTTTTTCTCGATGTCTTTTCTGGAGTTGTCCCAGGCTTGTAACTCATGGTCTGGGCAGAATTTGGGGTGTCAAACATACGGCCTGTTGGCATAACCAGTTAGGGGGTTCAATCCGGCCAGCTTGATCATTTGAAACTGTTCATATTCGTAATATTTTAGTTTAGTTTTATAAAATATTTCATTAAATAGGAAGATTACTTAACCATTTCCTTGTTGTTATTTATGTTATAATTATGCTGAGTGGCGCTTGGGCCCAGAGTTAATGTCTCTGTCATTGGTGTGGAACCCCAGGGTTCACCTCCTGGGCAAGATCAAATCCCAGTTAGGGCGGTTGGTACCTTCCAGTGGACTCACCACCTGCAGGAAGGTTCAGGGGGGTTGGTACGGTGCAGTGTGATTTGGGTGGCAACTGCTGCCCCCGCGACCCGGTAACGGATAAGCGGATGAAAATAAATGGATGGATGGATGGATAATTATACTGGTCCAGCCCACCTGACCAAAATGAGTTTGACATCCCTGGGTTAGACAAATATAGTGTGATCTGTCAGATTGGTGGATATGGTTAACCCTGGTTGTAGGGAATAGTTAACTATAACCCCTACATTTACTTTTTTTCCCCCCAGAACTCAAAAACTGCGATCTGATTATTTCATCACCAAATATTTCCCAAAATGCCTGTGGCCATGATATGTGCTGTCATGGGATTCCAAGAAGTTCGGTATTTGATTTCTCGGGAAGCGTGAAATGTCCCGGCCGTTGTTCTTGTTCTTGTTCTTGTTGCCTGAGAAAACAAACAAATGTCTTGGTTCCTGCAGAGTACCAGCATCAGCCTTAAGACAATTAATGTTTCTAGGCAGTGGTTTTGGCTTGTTCTTCACAGCAGTCTGCGGCATCACTATTCTATATCCCCACAAATTGTCCAGGGCCTGGTGAAAAAAAAATATGTTTCTCAGTACAAAAACAATCAAGGATGAACAATACGTTTGAAAGAAACAGCACCTGCTGAATTACGCTACTCTACTTGTACCTGTTTCATACGACAGATATTTCGCTTCCAGGCATTAAATTTCTTTGTCATAATATTATAATACTACATTTTCTGTGCACATTCCCAAAAGTCTCGAAAATGTGTCACGCCTTGTTTTTGTCAACGATGTTTAGGAAAAAAAAAAATGGCCTAATGAATGTGAAAACAGCATCTGTGTCGGCAGCAGTTCTTATTGCCGTGTTATTCCCTGTCCTTTCTCCTCATCTGTGAAGTTTTCTTCTTGCTCTGTCGGGAATATCTTTCCTGCCATTATTGTGATCAATTTGATTTCCTTGAAACTCTACACAGTGCAGGTAATTTGTATTCTGAACAGGCGCAGTGCACGAGGCAATTACTCTTTTGTTGCTGTTGCTTATAGGAATATGAAAATCCTGTGTCACTGTAAATCACCGCCTGCAGCATTTAACCAACATCACATAATATATAGAGCATTCCATCCCCTCTTAGGCCTTTTTTGATTATTTTGACTACACACACTGTGTTTCAGTCACTTAGAAAAAGGTTTTCCTCAGCCATTTAAATGGAGAATTTCACTGTGTGTGTGTGCGAAGCGCTGATTATAAGATGTAAGATCAAAGATACCGACGATAAGTCGCACTTTTTTTCATCCTTTGGCTGGGTTTGCAACTTATACTCAGGTGTGACTTATATATTAAAATATAATATAATAAAATATAATTTCACATATTTGTTATTTTCCCACTGGCAGTCGCTAGGGGGCACTCTAGCTGGCTGGAGTGACTCATACTCTGCAGCGACTTATAAAATAAAATATATGATTTCACATGTTTCTCATTTTCACACTGCCAGCCGCTAGGGGGCACTCTAGGCTCGTGTACCAGTATCTGCTACTTCTGTACCACGGAAAATGTACACGTTTGTTATTTTCACACTGACAGCCACTAGAGGGCACTCTAGCTGGCTGGAGTGCCTTATACTCTGCAGCGACTTATAAAATAAAATATATGATTTCACATGTTTCTCATTTTCACACTGACAGCCACTAGAGGGCACTCTAGCTGGCTGGAGTGCCTTATACTCTGCAGCGACTTATAAAATAAAATATATGATATCACAAGAATCCACTTTACACACTTACCACAAAGGAACTGTTAGAGTTAAAGCACCCTAATGAGAAACCTGAATAACACAGACAGACAGAGCACAGACACGTCCAATACAGACAACAAACTATGTCTGCGCACCTTTAGTCTTCGACTCCTCCTTTGTTTCACCGTTTGTGCTTTTGAAGGTTCTTGCAAATCTTTGAAGAGAGAGACTATTAACAACTCCTGGTAATGTCCCAGGTGTCTGCACACAGACCAAGGTTCTCAAGCTCAAACGAGCTAAGTGCCACTGCTGCAACCCTCATTTCATTTGAGGGCCATATCAGTAGTCAATGTTTAAATCCCCACCCCCCGACCCCCAGATTTTCTCGAAAAAAGCTGTTTTTTTTAATTAAAAAAAGTTTAATATAACCTTGTAAACAGCTGGTACAAATATTTTTTTGTCATTCTTGAATGAACCAGATTAGCATTTTAATAATCAAAAAAAAGAGAAAAAAATAGAAGGGCAAAATTAAATTATACTGACACAAATTTTTCACCGCAAAGTTATTAGACTGTGTGTGCTTAGTAATATTTTTATAGTACCAACCCCACAGAGCGACAGGGTTGGCAAGTACATTTAGTAAAATTTTGTTTAATAGGAAAAAAAGTATAAACCTTTCCTCATTCTGTCATTTTGATATATTTTCTCCTTTTTAGCACTACCACTCGGATGGCCTCTCAAATTAATTCAATTGGCTTAAGAGTGTAATTAGCTGTTCTAATGACTCCCAAATTAAACAGTGCACACTGGCTCCACTGTTACCCTTTTTTCGAGTTTTCGGAAGTGAAAGTGTTGCTAATTCCAAAGAGTATCTAATCTTCGACCAGCTCTTTCTCCCAAATGCAATTCCTTTAGCTCTATGTTCAGGGTAAACGCTGTCTCTTGCATCAAGTTTCTTTTTTTTTAGGTGGAAATGCGTGAGAGGTGTCGACCTGTGCAAC